CCCGGGAAACTACAAGCCCCGGCCCAGCTGGCGGGAAAGAGCCACTAACACGCGTGTCCACTCCCACGCCGAGCAAAACACCAAATTCCAGCCTTGAAATGGTTTGCACACGTTTGCCACCAGCGAGTCCCCGGGCTATCCCCGCCTCCCAAGGGCAATATAAAGTCTGGTGTCTTCATTGCCTTCCTCACTGATTAATTTCCTACATCTCCCAGCATTGAAACATAACCTCAGCAGGGAGATGATGCATGCCCCGTGGGCACGTCTTCCCGTCTCTGCAACTAGTCCTGCTAATTTATTCCCCCTGCCGGCTTCAGGCCCTTCCATGGCGAGATGCAGTGGGGTGATTGCCCTACACCACCATCTCCCTCAGCCTGTGTTTTGTGCCAAGCCCAATCCTGCAAACTCTGTCAGTCAGCAGACATACAGGGTGATGCTGGCCCATATAGATGGCTTCTTGTTTGTGAGGCCATAACTGTATACAGCCCTGCAGGGCTGTGGTGCTTTGTGGATGATATTTCATGCTGGAAAATGTATGAGTCCAAAGCAGGCAAGTGCCAAGCACTTCCTTGGCCTGACAAGTAACTGGCCAAGGCTCCCACCTTTCTTTATTGTGGGGCTGTGAGAAAGCAGGAGAAGATCTGTCTTTCTCCGCAGGCAAACCTGTTCCCTCCAAAATAAAACCTCAGACCTCCTGGCTCCAAGGAGTAACTAGTGCCTCACTGCTCTCCACCACCTCCCATCTGCTCCCAGTTGTCTTCTTCTAGTTCCTGGGAGCGGAGTCTCACCGCATTTTCTTCTGGTCTAAAAAGAAGCCCGAAAAGGAGTGGAAGATATGGCCAGGAAGATCCAGGGCCGGCTCCCAGCCATGACTCACGCTGCCCTCCCCTGGGCACTCCTCTGCTGCTCAGCTCCCGGGGACCAGCCCTGCTTTGCCTCAGTTTAGCTCCACAGTTCCTCCACACCCAGAGCACACCCACGCGTAGGAAGCTCTTCCAAAGGAGATCTTAGTCCACATCAGGCAGTCGCTTCTCCAAGAGAAATATAATGGAAACTAGAACACGGCATCTCTTTCTTTTTAGGATCTGAAGCTTCCAAACCTCTTCTGAGGATGGGACTGTCATGGCACTGGTGGGACTGGAGGGCTGTCATTAGAAGCAGCTTCTGGGCTTTTTTCAGAAGGTGACATAGACATTGCATAGGGTATGGAGGAAGGGGAACCCTATTGCACCAGGAAAGAGATTTCTCTGGCTACATATGGGTTGCCACAGCTAAGTGCCAAAGATTAACTTAGAATTATCTTAGTGCAAAGAATCATGAATGGGTGTAAGTAACACATGGCAGGAGGAGTGGGTCACTGTCAGGATCTCCAGTAGGTTTTCATCCCAACCAAGCAGTATCAAATGAACTGGATCCCGTCCCAGTCTTCACGTGTCTCTGTGGAGATGACCACAGGAACATCACCACTTTCCCACCTGCCTCCCCAACACAGGTCTTCAAAATTTCTTCTCAGCTGAGGTCTGAACCAGATTGTATGCCAAGGCACCTACACTTCTGCTAGGAGTGTTACTCTACCAGTCTTCCAGCACAGCCTTAAACACATAAATTCTAATGTGTCAGTGACCTATAAGGCAGGGTCCCTGAGCAGTCCCTCTGTTTATATCATCACTGGTAAATATGCCAGGAAGCCTGAATCCAGCCCTGGTCTGAGACAGCCTGCCTGGAAGGGACTTCTTCCCTGTCAGTCCGTAGTGCTGGGATGCTCACCAAGGGTGAGAGGAAGCTGGGCTCAGGTCCCACCCCTTTCTGAAGTGATCTGTGGCCTCTTCAACCACAAATCTGGATGGGTCTTTTTGTGCCTTTTTTTTTTAAAGCTGGTTTGCTTTGCGTAGACTAACTAATTAGCCACTGATGGGGGAGGGAAGAAGGCATCAACTCATTGGTGCTGCACTGCATTTGACTGGGAAGAGTGACCCCTGAGCCACTGAGCACTTGATCTAATACTGTGTCTGGGAGTAGGGGACTGAGATTTGATGTATCCAGCTCTGTGGGGAATGTCCTAATCCAATTATCTTCTGCCTGCTTTGATTTTTGCCCCCAAAATAGTTTCCAGCAGAAGTGTTACCTCCTAAAAAATAACCTGTCTGCAAATAGTTCTGTCGCAGCTATGACCTTGGATTTCTTCATCCCATTTCACAGTTCCCTCCATGAAGATGTGGACTGAAAGCCACTGCTAGCATGCATGACAGGGTCAGTTCTGCTCTCCTCTTCTGGTTCAACACACGGTTAGCCCCAGCTTCTCCCAGAGGGATCTCCCAGAGCCCATCCCAGGTATCCCAAACACAAGAGTGGGACGTGTTGAAGGAGCACCTCCAGTTTCTTTTGATCCAGACAAGAGTCTTTTTCTTGTCCCTGCTGCTTGTGACACATGGGCATGGTTGTTTGGGAGAACGTACTGAGGTCAGGGACTGAGTCGTTTGCCCTGGAACTGGGCCAGCCGTGGTTTCTGCTACGAAGTTTTGTCTGTGAATTCCTTTTGGCCGACACCCCTATCCCCAGCTCTGCTCTTCTGGTGTCCTGTAGCTTTCGTCCAGACACCGCGGCTGGCCCAGGCCCTTCTGTTGAGCACCAGCCCGGCTCCTTGTCCCCTCTGCACCACCCGCTCCGTCACTGCCTGCCCGGCAGCCGCGGTCGCGGAGCTCCACCTAGTGCCAGCTGCGGCTGTCCCCGGGCTGTCGCGTGGCATCCCGCGGGGACGCTTCCTCGGGAACGGGCTGTCGGCTCCGAGAGGTGCTCTTACAGGTAGAAGGGAAAGAAAATTAGGGCAGATTCCTCAATGCCATCCTGTTCTTTAGCTTGGGTTGTCAAATGTATTTTCCTTCTAATTTCTGCTACTGCTAAGTAGGAGAGTGCAGTGTCCTTCGCCCTTTGGCGCCTTGAATTGACCTCAGCCCCTTCTGTTCTTCTTACTGCATCAATGATTACTGAATCTTTGTCAGTCTCAGCCTAATTTAATGCACCCAGCTTAGACTAAAGGCATCTCTGCTGGAGGTCTTCAAACAAGCTTAACTCTCTCCATTCACTACAGGGGAGACTTCGTCACTTTCTCCAGACAATCGGCTCCTGGAGACACAGATTAGGGATCTGGATTCTAATGAGAGAAATGTGGGCATTTTCCTTTAAGAATCATGAAACTACTCCACTGTCTGTGGCTCTGCACAAGCCTCAGCAAACCATTTTGCTAAGTTGTGTTGGAAGCATCCTGGAAAGGAAATGTGCTCCTAGAAGATACTATTTTTCACTCAGTACCTCTTGTAGCTTTGTGCCATCTCTCTCTGCTGTGTGGAGAAGCAGGTGTACAACTCTACACATGATCAGCCCTTACAGGAGGGTTTTTCTCCTGATTGCACTTCCTCACAGAGTGCCGTGTTGCCTGACCTGCTTTTCATGTGTGCATCATGAGAAGTTGTGTTAGCTCCAAGGTTCTCTGTTTGCCTTTATATTCCCAAGTCTCAGCTTAGTAGTGATCAGGGGGCCACATGACCCCTACCCACTTCTTTTTAATTCTTGTGGAAAAATATTTGACACAACTCTTTGGCATGTTTTAAAGCACATGGGATTCCCATCTGCTTTTCTATGAGCAAAGTTCACATCTACTTAGCTTCCAGGGCCAGTTAGGCTTGGATGTGACCAGTTCAGCATTAAGTTCCTCTGGCTCGGAAAGCTGAAAACTGTCTGCACAAGACACTCAAGATCCTCTTTTCAGCTGATGAAGGCTGTGTGTTAACATTGCTGAACAGTGATATCTTGTAGATGAACACTTTGGAAGTATGTTAAAAATAATATACATTTTCCAGAAAATGAAATGTTAAAGTTTTATTTCTACCTGACTATTTCAAAATTACTCTTTGGCAGTTTATATCTGATTAAAAAATTGATGACTCCTTGTTAATTATTAACTATCAACAAAAATATACAAATCATAATTACTGTATTACAACATTATTTTCAGAAAAAATTAGTAAAGAACAGCTCAATTTATAGTATATTCTATCAAAAAAGTTATTAATTTATAACACATACCACCGAAAAATCCTAAATTAAGTTAGCACCTTGCAAAATGTGAAAAAGAAAACTATTAACCAACACATTCTCATATTCATTCACTGAGATGCAGACAAATGTATCCTGTTAATCGTGACAGAAGTTGCATTTACAAATTCCTAACCTCATAATGAAAATAATTGTCTTTCTCACTATACTGAAAACACATCAAGCCGCTGGTTATTGTCCTGGGAGTCTGCGAGAAAGTTAGAGGTAATATTCTCATTTTAGTGCAGCAGGATTCATACACCCAGGCTGATATCTGGGAATTGGGAGTGATGATATTACACTCCTAAATTGCTACAGAAGATAATTTATTCAAAATTGAACATTTTTTATTTGATATTAAAACACACAAAGCCCCAAGAATGGAATTAGCTGTAATTCAGTTGAAATGAGACTTCCAGCTGGAGACTGCCACCTGGATTTTCTAGAACAGGGAGGTAGAAGGTTATCTCCAAATATCAATCCTCCTCTTATTTTAGATTCTTATTTTAAGTGGAAAGGAATGACTCACTGCAAATGCCTAGGTCTCACCAGCAGTTGCAGAATGTAACCTGGATGACTAGAGGCCACCCAAGTACTTAAAGCTTGATAAAATGAACTTACCTGAACACAACACCTGTCAACTACTTTACAGCGATTGAGATATCCAGGATAAGACAGTTATGCACAATTAAATTAAGAATTCCTTGTAAAAACAGGACTGATGAAACTCTAAAACTTGGCCTCTAAAGTTGGCTACTTAAATGGTCTTTGTTTTTCTAACACTCACTGACATCTGAAGTTGTGAACAGCACCTCTGGAAATCAAACCAACTCTTTTTAGCTGCATAGTCAATGCTTGTAAACATTGACTAAAAAAACCTGTGGATTTTCTCATGTTTGCTTGTGATGAGGCAAGAACAGTATGAATTCAATACACTATTTACACAACACCAGGAAAAGAGATATCCAGTTGTAGAGAGGTAGCAAAAAGACCTGTCTTGCTATAGATGTGTTTGCTGAATTCAAATAAATGAATTATCTCTTCTTCTCAAAGTCACAAAAATATGGATGGGACCACAAAAAATGCTAACAGTGCTGCATTTGGTGACAAAATCTCTTCTTGGAGCTGATGTAAAACACTTATCCTACACAGAGTTTATGAAAATAATCAAATCCACAACCCAGATTATTTTTCAGCCTGAGGGTCCTCATGATGGTGCTCAGTTGGGAACAGCAGAGATTCCTCATTCCTGCTTACACCTCCTAGTTTAGTTTTGATGCTGGAATTGTTTGTAGCAGCATTTTTCTTCATATTCTGGTAAACCTAGAATTGGGAAGAGGAAATAAAAGATATCTTCTATTATTACTTATTGTACCTGGAAGCCTGTTCTTCTCCTCATGAAGCAGACACTTGTCATGTACAGTCCACCTCCTCTTGAGGGAGAATCACACTCATGTCTGCCAGTTTACTTCCCACTGACTCCAAAGCGAGTCCAGACTACTGCCTAAGTGACATGGATCTTATCCAGCCAAAAAGAGCTGGGTTGAGGGATGGCACCGGACTGTAAAGGAAGATTTTTTCCTAGATATAGTGCTTTGAAGTTGCTTATTAGTTCGTTTGTACACTTGGCAGCTTCTGCCAGGTTAACAGCCTTCTGAGAAGCTCAATGCTGCAAAGGCAAGAATCATTCCTCACATCCAAAAAGGTTCTTAAGGACACTGCACTGAGAAATAGTGTGTCTAGCCCAGGGTGGATAACTGGGTAGAAAGTGGTAGTTTGGAAAGAAATTTTTTATTGTCCCTGTGGAAGAGATAACTGTCTGGTATGGATGGAACAGGGCTTCTTCAGATCCTGTTTAGTATTTTGACCTTTGAGGATGACATGCAGCAATCTGTCTGTGAGGACGTGGCAGCACATGCCTATGGTGACCCCCCGTGAGATCCCTGGCAGGTGGTTGAGGCTCAGTTCCCCTCCCATGGCATCTATCAGCATCACCAAAGCAAACTGCACCAGCTCCTGCATAGGGGAAGCACATCCCCACAGCTGAGACATTTCAGCTTTCCAGAGTTCCAGTGCAGGCAGTGGGAGGAAGAAACGCCTCATGAAGAAGGTCGGGATTCTTTCTGATGGCAGAAAAAAATGCCCCAGACTCTTACATAGATCCATGGGCACTGTATCCATAACACAGTTGTGTACTTCAAGAGAAAGCAGAAGGCTATTCCTCAGCTCATTCTGACCTATGGAGCTACACAAAAAACCCCCAAACTCCTCTAATCAAACCCAAACATTGTTCACATTGTTCGTATTTCTGTGTTTACTTACTGCTCCTTCTGCCTCAGCCAGCTGACAGGCAAGAGAGGAAACCAGGCAAGAAAAAGAGGGTCTTTTTCTGGAGTCAAGGGCCCAACAGGACTGCATCATGCGATAGCTGCAGAAGCAAAGAGATGGTACAGAAAATGTGTTAGCTCTTGAACTGTCTGTAAATGACTACATGGAGTTGCAGGATTTGAACGGGAATCATGGGGCATCAGAATGATTTTACAGAAACAGGTCAGAACTATTCTCTTGCATCTGAGGAAAAGACACAGAAAGATAAGGATCAAGGGTGAAATGAAGAACATGATTTTACAAGAGTCCTTAGTAAAATCCTCCTCATAGGATTGGGGCCAGAATTCCATCCTGGCTGGCACATACTGGCATGCTAACCCTGTTTTCCAGCTTCCATACAGAAAATGGTAGGAAAACAATTCCTATCTGTCTCTGGGACTGAACCTGCTCCTTGTGGACTATGTATTCTTGAGAGCACTTTTCACACCAAGTCTTTTTATGTAATTTGACATAACAAATGTCTTTCTAAAATGTAAACACCACCTTAGAGATTTTGCAGTTTCATCAGGCACTTGTGCAGCACCTATCCACTAAAGTTCCTTCCAAAGTTACTGGGACAAGAGGTTCCCTGATATTTATAAGCACCACAGCAATCTTTCATGGGTCATCCTGTCAGAGTCACGTGTACCTGGAATACCATTTCTATGGAGAGGATAAGAGCAGTACAGTGTCATAGCAAGGCGCTGAGTCCCTAGACCATCTATGAAATGTCTGCCAGAAGAGCTCAGACAACCCAAAGTCCTTCCTTTTTCTCCATGTTCCAGGTCTCATAGCTCCCTATCATCTTCTCTTGTCCCCTGGGGTCCACCTCTAGGCAAAGCCCACCCAGGTACAGAGGCACAGGCTAAAAATCATATACTGAGAGCACAGAAATAGCTCCCCCCAACTCTTCCTTAGCAGGGTTCTTATCTAACAGGATCCCTAGCCACCCTGAACTGAAACAAATGTAGTAAAGCTCAATTAAAAAAAAAAAAGTTTAGAAAAAAACCCGCCAAAGATTTAGTCAATATTCAAAACTGATATGGTATAACGTACCTTGGGAAAAAAATAAAGGAAAGGAAAAAAAAAGAAAAAAAGCAAAGGAAAACAAGGGAAAAAAAAAATCTGTGATCTGGGAACAAGAATTGCTCCCAGATTGTGCCAGAAGGCACAATTAAATAAATATGATAAATTAGTCCTTTCAAACACACATAACCTTTAGTGTTGATCGCTTCTGCTTTAGAACAAAACCAGCAGGATCAGGCAGCCTTTTCCAGAGCTAGAGGAAGATCTCATGTTTTGCAACTTATTATGAGTAAGACACAATAATTATGAGTAAGTGTACAATAAATAAAAGGTCATTCAAACAGTGACCTGGTAAATATAAATTCACATACTCTGCATCAGGCAGGAAGTACACTTACACATCTTTTGTAGCATAATATGGTTGGTCCATATTAAATCCACTTTGTATTAATTTGTAGAAATTTGTATCAACCTGAATACCAGGGTAGGGATTTACACCTGCAGAAATTATTGGAGAATACATGTTAATTCAGAAGCTAACAAAACCAAACACTGCTCTTTTGTCCTATTACAAAACATACCCAAAGAGAATATTTCCCATAGCAATATTCCATATGACCAGACATCACTCTTCACTGTGTACGTCCTCTCAAATAAGCTTTCAGGAGCCATCCATTTAACAGGTAAACGAGCCTGTACAGACAGGGGGAAAGGAGGCCAGGTCATGCTGTGACACAGGCTTTCTAAATGACTCACTGTTGTTCTCACTGCTTGAATATGATCAACTCATGTTTGCCATGTCAAGAGCTGTGTCTCTCTTAGTAGTCCTTTGAAATTCCCGTTATAGAGAGAAATGGGCACTTCTAAGGAGCCAATTCATCTCATCCATTTTAGATGACTATTTAAGGAGAGATGAGCTCAGTCCTGGAAGAGTTGCCTTCCTTCTTATGACTTCTAGAGTGAGTAGCTCAAATGGAGAAGCCCGCACTGTACTTCATACAGGCAGAGGATCTGGCATATCCCCACATATATGCCATTGTCCTACACTATTATTGTCTGCAACAGTAAACAACTCCCAGTGCTTCCATCAGTGGATTTCAGTGTGCTTTAGAAAGAACATGGGTATCATTTCATTTACAGTACTAGCTTGATTAGTTTAATTATAAGCTAAGAATATGCATTTGCCAGGGGCAGGAAAAAGTGAGATTTCTGCACTTTCGGTACAGATATCTGCAAAGCTACAAGGAATTAAAAAATTAAAACTTCGCTTTCTTGGTTCCTTATGATTCTTACAATGGTACGAAAGCCAGAGAGCACTCATGAACTTACGTTCCCCCTGACGATGTAGTTGGAGTCATTCATTATATCTCTGGCAAGGCCAAAATCACATATTTTCACCACTTTTCCATGGGTCACTAGTATATTCCGGGCAGCAAGGTCTCTGTGAATGCACTTAGAAGGAAAGGAAGGGTTAATGCTCTGCAGCATTTAGCATCAGAGGAAGACAACTCCCTGCTCTCTGAGTTGCTCCCTCCTTCCACTTAAACAGTTTTGTGAATGGGCAAGCTGGACACTCCCTGGTTGATCATGGCTAGGGGACAGGGCCAGAGCAGGCACAAGTGTGCAGCGCAGATGCTTCCTACTCAGGGTGGTGCCTAAAACTGCAATTCAGCCTTTGCTGTTAAGCCAGGGAGGGAGGTATAGTTCAAGCTTGCCACTGAGTGTCTCTGTTCTTCAACCTGCCTTTTATAAACTGATGGTTTTTTACTGCCTTTTCTATCTGAACAATTTGCTACCCTTCACTATACCGATTTGGACTCAAGAAATTCCATTCCTTTGGCAACTTGATAAGAGAAGCAAAGAAGGTCTTCAAAAGTGAGCACATTAAAATCCTCTTCTTCATCCACCTGTGTGCTTGCATCCTTAATTTTATCTGTAAAAAATAACCAAGTATGAGTTTTCCATGGGCTTCCTCACTCTCTGATTAATTCCACTGACAGTTTTAAGAATTTTCCCATGCTCCTACCAAGAACAACATCACAAAGGGCATCCATCTTTTTTATCCTAATAACAGAATTAGTAAAGATAAAATCAATCAGTCTCTTACCTTCCTCAGAGAACAGCACTATCCCATTTGATCCAAGTGTCACATTTATGTTTTGACTTCTTTGCATGGTTTCAAATTCATCTTCTCTGCATAGAGTTGTATTTACACCATACTTCAGGTGAGTCCCCATCCTGGAGCAGGCAACATATTTTCAAAGGTTACACACAGTGTATCATGTAATCTTCTACACATAAATGGTTTCACAGTGAAAAACATGATCAGTTACTGCTATTAAAAATCTGGGCACAGAGATGCACAGACATGCAACTTCTCCAAACTGGAAAGAGAAACAAGAGATTGTTTGTATTCTGCAGTCCAGTGTGAAGAACATCATAAGGAGAATCAAATCTCAGTTCCTCCCAAAGCACTGTTTATTAAAGTATGTCGAGGCACATTCTCAAGAATTGAATGATTTCACCAGTTTACTGCACAGCTGAGAATGCAGTTTAAGAAGTGATAGTAGTCTTAAAAAGTATTAAACTGTTGCTAAATGCTTTACCTGGAATTTTGGTCCAAATGAATATTGTGGTAAAAGCTGAAATTATGGTGTTTAAAAATATCTGTCAGTGTCCAGTGAAACTTTTCTCTCTTGCTCCTTAAGTAGTTCAGAAGGTCACCATAGCAACAGTACTCAAATATCAAGAAGATTGGTCCTGAAATAGTTGGAAATGTAAATGCTTGCTGCCATTTATAGCACCCTCCCCATTAAAGCCCTAATGCTGCCTCATCTTTTCTCAGGGCTAATCTGTATTAAAGCATCCCAAACATCTTTCCTTCCCAGATAGATAAGCTGTGCTGATGGGCAGGTAATATTTACTGACTGTAATGTCCCTTTGGAAAGTCTGTGTAGTTGATTCTTCCTTATGGTGCATCTCTCAATGTGTATTGAAAATCCCTATAGAAACACAAAGATCCTTCCTGGTAGGACCACACAGACAATAAAGATGCAACTTACTGTCTAAACCATGCATGGTTCAAGTAAAAAATGACCCCTGCTAATTATCTGGATGGTGTGAATTTGTATCCTTGGACCTACATCCTTCCATTTATCTGTGCTATCTTCATGCTCTGGAAATATTTTTTTTTTTCCACGAAGGCCAACTGAAACCCAAGTGTGCTTGCTGAGATGGCCTATAGGAGGGATATGTGTCTTGCAAGGGGATGTGTCTGAGTAGAACACTGGTCAGGTCACTTTCTCAAGAAAGGAAAAATATATCCAAGACCTGGCCCAGACAGGCTCACAGAAAAGTCATGACAAGCCAGCAGGAGCTCAGAGTGGTCACACATCATCCTGCAAAGCGTAACACTGGCACCACTGCTTCTGGCTCAGAAAAGCCAACTATGAATTTGCAGCCATTTCTGTCAGAAGGCCCCTGCCAAGCAAGGTAGGGTACACTGGAAAAAGCCTGTGAAGTCTCTCAGAGGATGGAAAGGAAAGTCTTGAGAACCATGTAAATACTTCTGAAAATGGGATTTGGATAAGTCTGGAAGCATTCCTGCCCTACCCCGCCAGACTAAGCGGGCCTTCGCTGCAGCTTTCCTGCCTACACCATCACATCTTTTCTAACGTTCCAGAAGGCCGCGGCAGCCTATGTAGTTTTGACTCAGGTAAGTCCACCACCGTCAACCTATTTCTCTACTTTCCTCTTATCCCTTAGATGTCTTTGCATAACAGTATTGCTGCTGATGCAAACTGAGGAAACAAGAGTTAACTGTTCTCCTTGGTCTTTCTGAGGAAGTCAAGTTTTTCAGTAGCAGGTGTCATAGTTCATGACATGGACCAACACTGGGGAAAATCCTGTCCTTTCGCCAAGGTCATCTGTTCTTTAGCCTCTCCTCACCCACTCTTGTTCACTGCTGGACTGCCCAGAGAAGCAGTTCTTGGGACAGGAATATCTGTGTATGTTTCCTCAATGACGAGTCACACAATAATTAATTAGTGATAATCCCTTGCTGCCTTCATTTTAACCCATATTTGCTTATTTTTTTCAATCTTCAGCTTTGTTTTTACAATCGGTCCTTTAAAAACTTGTTCCTCTGTCCATTATTCACTTCCCTCATCTTCTTTCTTTGTGTGGCCCCCCTGCCCTTGCTCTTTTTCAGTTTCTTTTCCTTCCTGACTGGATTTTAGCCATTTTCCCCTTTCTTTCTTTCTACAACTTCACTGTTTGGTGAGCCATGTGGTTTAAAAAAAAAGAAAAAAAATTATTTCTTATGTGAACATAATCATGTGGATACAAAAGTCCCTGACACCAGATAAGTTTTTCCTCTCCTCTTAATAAACTGGCCCATATCAGTGCTATCACCACTGTAACAGGAAATTCTCTTCTACAGAAGGGCTGTTGTATCACTTTATGCAAGTTCAATCAGAAAGGACCCTTTTCTGTACACATGCACAGTTTTAACTTTGCTTTCAGTTCATCTTCATCTGATTTTGGTTCAGCACAGAACAGCAAAATTGATTGGGCAGAGATGGAATTCAGCAGAGAAGAGACTGAAGAGCAGCCTGAGGAATAGGTGATTATTTATCACTTGGATGTCTTTAACGCTGTTTTTAACAATCAAGTTTTTGATACTTCCTATCTGTTTAGGAGTCCTCATTAGTCTGGAGGTTTTAATTGGTACCTTTCCACAATCGCAAGTTACCTGACACAGTACAAGCTCCTAGTAGGTTCACAATATTTTCATGGCTTCCAATGTGAGTCATCATTTTCAGCTCAGACATTAGAGCATCTTTTTCTGAAGCATCAGGTTTTTCTGTAAAGGTAATAACACAGATTTGGAAATCTCCAGCAAAGAAATAAAAATTTAAATGGTCGTGATGCTTTATGACATGCAGATCTTCATTTCAAATTCATTGAACTGATGGTACATTCGGGAACATTTTGAAAAAAAAATCTTTCTACAGTAAAAAAAATTAAACAAAAGGTGGAAACTAAATTTTTGTGTGTGTGTGTGTGTGTACCATTTGAAGGCTTGGGAAAGCAGTCCTCAAATGTCAACATCTGTCATTCTTGGGCAAGAAATGACAGCAATTTATTAAAGTGTCCACAAGCACAGAAAAAAATGGCAGTCAATCCTGTTGCAGGGAAATGCTAAGAGAAAAAAATGTCTTGGCAGCCATATGGCATGCAACCAGTTGCAATCCAGTAGCTAAGAAGGCCACCCTGTGTTTCAGTTATAGCTTTTGTCTTGTTTTTCAGAAAGCATTTGGTCCTCATGATCTCAGTGAATTAAGTATATGAACCATAATGATCAAGTTGAGCTTCCATAAAGACAACCACAAAGGAGTGGACCGCGGAAGTGTAAAACTGATGCATATGTGCAAATAGGGGATGAAAAGCTGCATGGCAGTGCTGGCAGTAAGTGGCTGTGTGGGCATACAGGTGGGCAGGGTGCTGGTGTCAATGTGAAGCTCATCCCAACATGTATCAAGAGATGGGTGAGGTGAATATCGATCTCTTCTCCCAAGAAACAAGTCAGAGGATGGGGGAAATGACCTCAGTTTGTGCCAGGGGAGGATTACACTGGATATGCAGAAAAAATTCTTCACTGAAAGGGTTGACAAGCATTGAAACAGGCTGCCCAGGGAAGCAGTTGATTCACTATCCACAGAAGTATTTAAAAGACATATAGTAGTGTCACTGAGGAACATGTTTTAGTGATGGACTTGGCAGTGTTGGGATAACAGTTGGACCTAATGATAGTAGAGATCTTTTCCAACCTAAACAATTCTATCATTCTTGCTGCCAGGGAGGTTTGCTCCTGGACACTGCTTTTATGAGGAGATCTTGGAGAGCAGCCAGAGCATAGCATCAAGGAGTATTCGAGGTTTAAGAAGCCTGACCTGTAGGGAGGGATGGAAATAAATTGTTTTGTGTCATCAAGAAGAAAAGACTACAGGAAATTGTGCTTAAGTTTTGGAAACAAGCTAGCTCAGACACAGCAGGTGAAGGGTGTTTCACAGCTAGACAGCACTACAAAATTCATAGAGACACCGATGTAACCAGGAGGCTAATTTGCACTAGGAATTTCCATTCCTCCTCTTTAGAGCAGAGGAGCTCCATACTTCCCCACACAGCACACACCTTCTCTAGCGTGTAGGACAAAAGGCAACACACTACAGGATGAAGGCACTTCAGCAACACCTTTTCAAACTGAAGCAGGATTTTGAAAGGCGTTTTAAGGATTTTGAAGCCAAGCATTTGTGAGGAGTAACTACTGAAAGGTTGTATACAAGGGGATTTCCAACACTGTTTCTTCTTTGGAGCCACTAGAATACTTCGTTGTTTGTGAAAGGCACTAGAATTTATCATACCTTTTAGCATTTTGACTGCGACCTGGACTGAATCTTCTGCATTGCTAATTCCATAAGCTGTAGCATTCACCACTTTTCCAAAAGCCCCAGAACCAAGGATCTGTCCTACAAGACACAAAATGCCAATATTATTTGCAGCTGGTACAGTATAGGCTACTACTCCAGTATTAGGGTTTGCCTTAGGGACTGCTCACCAAATTCCAGGTTTTCCCTGGGAAATTCCCATTTCAGATCATATTCGAATTCTCTGAAGTCAATGTAGATGTACTCATTATCTGATGGCCCTATCATCTGTATCATTTGCAACTGGCTTTCATATCTAAATTGCTTTGGAAGAAAAAAACACACAGTGTAAGAAGTCTTAGAGAAGAAACAGTCTGGTAGGAACAAAAGAAGAAGGGACAGATATTTATGTTTACCTTTTTGTATTTAAGAAACATGAATACAAACACAAAAGTGATCAATAGGAGAAAAAATCCAACAGAGACATAGAATGCATCATTTTCCGTGAGAGAAGAAACAGCTCCTGCAACTTTAAGAGACACATATTACTACCCACTGAATCAGTTTGTGTGTGCAGCCGAAAACGCAAGGAGAACCCATGGTGGCTTGGTCAGTTCTGGCAGTTTGTAGCCCTCTCACTCCTGAGCCTCCTCTTCATGGGGAATGAGATGGAGCCATATACAAAGCGAGATGGAGTTGTATACAAGATGGGCAGGAGGCATTAAGTGCTGGATAATTCTGACATCTGTTTTCATAAAAAAAAAAGCTACATCCACTCATAAATCTAAAATAAACTGATAAATCTAAGTGCATGGAGGTGTTGGTGTGATCCATAGATTGAACTTTGTGAGCATAAACAGAACTAATCAACTCCTCATTGCATCTTCCTGCTCTCTCCCTGTGCCTTCCCCCATCAATGTATGTTAGGTACCAAAGTACCAGTTATCAGTGGGTGACTGTACACAGCCTGCTTGGAGCGTTGCTGCTGCTCAGTCAGGAACTCTCTTAACAAGCCAAGATATTACTGTAAGGGGCCGGTGGGTAGGTGAGTGTTACATAAGACCTACCCTCATATTCTGGTTGTTTCTAAGAGCGTTAAGTATAAAGATTATTTTCTATTGTAATTTCAACATGAATGCTCAAACTCTGACAGTGGTCACAGCTTTGGCCAGCTGTAGTCAAAAGCACCAAATAGGCTGTTCATCCACAACAAAGGAAATCCCTGTACTGCAAATATTTAGATGTTTCAAAACGCTTCCTAGGTGCCACAGCACGTTCCTTGTAACTGAAATTTTTGCTCTCTCGGATATATATGGTGTTACAAGTATAAAGTGCAAAAATTCATATTGACTTTCTGGCTCAACAAGGAAATATCTCATTGTCTCGGCAAGAAGAGAGACTGCACAGCAGTTTCCAAACCACTTAACCCCTTTTGCCACCTGTCTATTATCAGTTTAAGAAGGTCTCTTGCCCAGTACTCCTTCTTTCCAGACAGGATAGACCCTTGAGTGGGTCTGTTGGCTCAGTCATGATCTTGTTTGTGTGTGCAATGACCTCCATGGGGTGACGAGAGTCCCACGGGCATTTCTAGCAGAAACACAGTGACTTCCAGGAAAGGAACAAGAGCTAGCATCTGCCACCAGTTATCAAGTGACCTCAGCTCTTTCCAAAGCTGACGCATCCAGATTTCATGTAGGGATTACTAATATGAAATAAAAAATTAGACCCCAACATTGCCATGGTTCCATCCCACACTTCCTATTTGTGTGAAGCTTCTGCTTATTTTAATGAGGGAGGCCCCTGCTTTGGGACTGGAGAAAAAAGAATTGTGTCTCCCATTCACCCACCATTTCTCATGCTGTATACACATAGAGCTTGTGTTTTACCTGCAATGCCATTGCACGGTCAGCCATTTAGCCAGATAAAAAATACCACAAGTTTTACCACGCCAGTTTTAATTGAGAAAACCTGTGCTAAAACACTGGCCTATGGTACCTGGCTGGTTAATGAAACTCTTTTTACAGGCTGAACCAGCAGAATTGTTTGCACAGCACTCCACAGAGAAGGTTGTCGCTGTCTCCTTTAGATCTAAAGTACTGCTTGAAATCCATGACCCCAGGGACCTCCTCTTCGGCAAGAAGTTGTGAATCCCCTCTGCAATTTCTTCTATGCAGCTGAAAAAGGAAGAGGACAAGTTTTGGTATTTGGTTTGACATTTTCCAGGGGAGAAGGTGGAAAGTTTCAAAACATGTCTTATGTCTGTCTTGGAAGAGGAGAAGGGAGGGGGCTTGGTTTTTATCCGTGATAGAGTGAGACTTCAGATCAGTTACCAGTCTCATTTTTGGGGATGGACATGGCAGGGTCAGCAGGGAGTGCATTGGGTTTCCTACCTCCTACACTGGGTTCACTCCCACTCTCCGCCACTGCCTTGCACCCCGTGACCTCCAGGACCTCCACCAATTTCATAACTGACACAACCCTCCTACACTGCATCTATTCCCACTGGTTTCATACTTGCCTCAAACACTCAAACCACTGATCAGCTCCAAATGGGCTGCTACTAAAACTATAAATGCAAAATGAACCCACAGTAAAGGTTCTAAAGTCCTTTCCCTGAAGGTATATGTTTTCAACCACGAAGTTTCTTTCACTCAAGTTGAAGAGCATCCAGCCTGTATTAATGGTTTATTGAAGACCTGATATGTAGAAAGAGGGAACATTACTTGGGGGAAAGGAAGTTCACACAGAGATAATTTTTTAGCTTTTCTATCATTCATCAGCTTACTGCCTAATTTACTGTCCATATAAATACATGAGGAGATAAATAAATAAATAAAATTTATTCAGCTCTAGACATAGCACTAACTTCTACATGTGGAAGTTTCCAAGAAAAGAAATGTCACAGCATTTTCTTTCCAGAAAGATGATTTAAGGAGCATTTTAAGCTCTCTAGCTGGACGTTTTCTTTCCTCTTCCATTTCTGCATGAACAGATTGATGCTAGGAAACCTTTTCAGAGGTATGGATGAGAAAGTTGTTTAGATATTTTTTTTAATGTCCAGCTAAAATACTTAGAGCTTTATCCACAACCTTATAAAGGATAATTTGACCAAGTACTCTTCTGCACCATAGGATTATTAGTTTTTTGCAAATCTAAAATAAAAATTGCAGAGTTCATAAAACAGCTCTAAGTTCTTTCAGCATCTCTTGAAATTTTAGTGCCTGACTCATTGCTCTAAATAAATAGAGGAAATGGAAACACTCTCACTAACTTTACTGGAAACACTCTCTCTGACTTCACTGGCTTTGGTAACAGGTCACCATAACAACTGTTTTAACCAAAGTTTAACCAATTAATCAAGCTTGTATTAACCAATGCATTCCCTGAATCACTTTAATTTTGATAGGCTAAGAGAAAAACTTATACTGAACTTCGTAGCTACCTAACTGTTGATATAAACCCAGTGGGGTTTGTTTTGGTGCAAAGAGCTTGAGATACATCTTTGTAGAATTCCTTTGATGTCAATAAAAAATGGAAAACTTTCCCTAGTTTTGGTCATCTGGTTCCTCTGGAGTGGGACACCAAAGAGTTGAGGGTGCATCTTAGACTTGGGTTTTTACAGGTCAGTCTTCATTTAACCAAAGATAGCTCAGATAGTCTTTGCAATGAATAGAAAAGTGAGAAAATTATTACTTGGATGAGTTCAGCTCAAGACAGTTCCTCCAAACCCAGGATGAGGCAGGATAACTTTCAGCAGTGCATGAGATCTGTGTGAACAACTGCTGCATCGTTATTTCAGGCTTTCCTACAACAAGATAACACAAGACTTGAGGACACAGTTTAGTGGTGTACTTGGCAGTGCTGGGCTTGTTGGACTCTGTGATTTTAAAGGTCTTTTCCAACCTCATCAGTTCTATGATTCTATAAGACAATTTCTGTCAGTGACAATATACAGTGACAATTCTGTCAGATTTCAAGTGACAATACCCTGTGCACCTTTGTGTACTGTATCTGCTGAGACCAAGGTCTGCTTTTGTGTTTTCAAAATAGCCCACCCACATGTCACTGTAAGAGCTGGGTGCAGCCCGCAGTCTTCCTCCTCCCTGAGTTGTGTGGATGGTAGTGCAGGTAAGGCAAGCAGCCACTCCTCTATATGGGTACAGCCAAACCAAAACAATGGCAGAGCCAAAATTAGAAGCCTTGACTTCTGCTTTTCTGACTCTGAACAAGCAATTGGCCCTAGGGTTGTCCTGACACTCCAATTCTGCGGGTCCAGCTCGTACAAAATGTGCACAGGATATATCCCTGCACACATAACATATCATAAATAATGCTCCCTGACCTGGAATAATGGAGACATGCTCCAGTCATGTGGCAGAACTGAGATAACTGAGAGCATCGGTCAAGATTGTGCATGTGTGAATCATGGGTTTCTCATGTGGCCCATGTGGTTTCTGCAGCAGTCATATATGTTACAGCTCTGTAGAATTAGAATACAGCCACTGTATTTTACTGAGCTCCTAAGCTTGTAATTTTCTTAAGAAGCATTAATTTTCTGAGTATCTACTAATTTCTCATATTCTCTTTATGATAGACTAAAGGAAAGAAAAAAATTAGTAAGTTTCTCCTTCTTTCTCTGTTCTCCATCCCTGACCAAGACAAGAAATACAACCCACAAGCATCCAGTGTCTTTCTTTGACCCCATGCCTGGATTTCAGTAGTGGAGTGCAGTGTGAAGAGAATCATATTTTTGCCTTGTGATCCTCCATTTTTAACAATAAATCTATGTAAATGAAATGGCAAATAGCAAGGAAAAACAACAATAGCTTCATTTATACCAGTGACAAGGTCTCAGACTTTGCCAAATCTTCACAGGGATAGTTTTCTCACTTACTTCTCACGTAGAGAGTGAATTTTTTTGTCACAACCATATCATCATTTTCAGCATAAAATATGTATATCCCAGACTGGCGCTGATGGTTGCAGAACTTTGATGACATGCTGCGGAGCAAAGAAAAACAAAGAAGGAAAAGGACAAAAAGTTGACTTGAAAAAGATTTTAGACGTAGTCAAGACTCATACATATGTTTGAAACAATTCAGCATCCTCTAATGAAGAACACAGGGGAAATTATTTTTGACTGGAGAATATAAATCCCGGAATCTAACAGTCTTTGTGGGAGTATATTTTTTTTCCTGCACTATTGATTTCATTCTGCATTTTTTCTCACAGGGCCTGGAGTGCACATAGGCTGTCAAGCTGTTATTTTGTTACTGATCCATTGGAAGACAAGGCACGTAACACATCCTGGCGTAGATGCTAAGACCAGCAAAGGATCAAACTCTCTACTCTCCAAAGAACTTTGATGGGACTTTCTAGCTGATATGAGAAATGGTATTAAGAAACAACAATGACAGGGAGGACTGTAAGAGATAAACCTCTCCAAATGGAAAGATCTCATGAAAACTCAGGAATGAGGTCACCATCCTAAATTTATTGTCAATGAGACGAAGCACCAACCATCAAGATATTTCTGCAGGAGGAAGACCAGACTTCTATTAATCCCTATGGCCTTTGACCCAGTGGATGGCGGAAAACCAAGACCCACACCATGCAGGAGACAGCTTGTGACAATGAAAATGATGAGAGAGGGCTTTAACAAGTCACTGGGCAGAAGTTAACAACTGAGAACTGCAGCAACTCAAAGATTCATGCATGACTGTCCTGTTGTCACTGGTTTATGAGACATGGGATGAGGCAGGGAGGAGGGAATATACTATCTTAGAGAGATGGTATCCGATTTCTGTGCTTTTGACTAGGTTATTGTTGTCAGGACAATTGTCAAATTTGAATGGCAGATAATGCAGTTCATCAACATTAGAAGCACAACCTAAGAAAATCTCTCTTAGGTTTAGTTGCTGACATTTGGGGATAGATGGTTTTGCTGATAGCTCAAGGGTAACCATGTAGAATGTCCACAACTATGTTTAAGTGGTAAAGACAAGCAGGCACATCAGTGAGTTCGAAGCAAAGAAGGAAAAAACCAGACAGCCTGCAACCTGCAAGGTAAGAGAAAGCAGTAATGAGATAGAAATCTAGAGATCTAAGATCAGGGTATTTCTCATTAAGGAAGATACATACAAAGGAACTAAGTGTCGTCTTGAAATTCTAGAGCAGGAAAACTTGTGTTGAAGCCAATGGCAGTTTTGCCTTCTCACTAAGACAACACCTTCTTGTAGTTATTGACTTCTGAATGTCTTAATCTGAAATGGCCTTAAAGTTGTCCTTGAACTCATAGACATTTTAAAATTAGAACCCTTTTAAGCTGACTCAAGATGGATACTGAAGACAGGAAAAAATACTAAACCCCAAACCAAAAATAATTAATTGCTTTTGAAATCCCAGGGCTGAAGGATTATATCCTAACGAAATAATAGGAAAAAATTCTAAAACAATATCTTTGGTACATGAAAATATCAGGGCATGTGAACTAAATATTATAAATTCTAACAGAGGTCATAGTGTTTATGAAAACTCATTTGCTCTTAGGAGGGAAGTGAAAATCAACAGTGTGCTGAAACAGAGAGACAATAAAAGCAAATAGAAAATGGAAATTCAGGAGAAATGTCTGAAAACACATAAAGGTAGTGATAGGAGAGATGGATCTCTGGGATTTGAAATGAAAAGCTAAAGAAAAGAACAGAGCTAATTAATACAATTTAATATGACCTATAATCAGGAGGAACAATTTAATACGAAAATGGCAGAAATAAAAAAAAGGAAAAACAGGAAATGAAAAAGGATATGAAAGGAACAAAGTAGAAGTGTTGGGAGACAGGATTACACAGAAATCAACTAAAATGTGCAAAGTGAGACTTGCAATATGTTTAGATATGTGATGACCTTTCTCTTGTAGTTTTGGGAAACTTTCTGCTTTAAAATCATATTGAAATCTGCAGTGCCACAGCTTGCAGGCAGAATCTCCTGACGTCCTCACCCCTTGCTGCTTCTTTCCTCAGGTGAGATGTGCCTATCCAATGCTTGTTTTCAACCAAAATTATAGTTGTGTATGTATAGTTGCAGGGGATGTTTGTACAGAAGAATGTACTTGTCAGATGAAATAATCACCAAATTCAAGTATTTCTCCTTCAACCATATTTTTTCCATAAAATAAATAGAATGATAAAACAATGCGAAGTATAACTACCCAAAAATTAACATTAAAAAAATCTATTTATGCAATAGCACAGTCAGACGGATGGCTGAGTTGTCTGTTTGAAGCAAGCGCCAGGCCACACCCCAGCAATACTTGGTGGCTGTGATCGTGGCTATGGCCATGGCTGTGGCTGAGCCAGTCAAGGACACACAGCTCCAGGGACACAGGCTGGACTTTTCCCCATCCGGCAGGTGGGGATCTGCACTCGGCAACTGCTGCTTCTGTGCTGCAAAGGCTATCTGAAGTGACCCATAAATCCCAAAGCACCAGCAGTTGCACCTTTCCAATTAATGAGGGTTGCCTAAACTATTTCAAGAGTTCTTGACATTATTATTGTTGGCACAGTCCATAGCACCCTCATCTTATCTGCACTGAATTTACACCAGTTCTCAATCATCCAAGCAAAACTGACTGCTACTTGTACAAGTGGTGAGAAGAGGTCCATATCAGCTGCAAAGCAAATCAACTCGGTGTTATCAGCTGGAGGGAGGTACCTATTGGACAAGGATGAGCAAATGCTCACGGCTGTCCCTTGAGACTTCATTTCCAAAATCAGTCTTGACACAAAGCACAGATCTGCTGAGCCCATGTCAGGCATTGCAGATTAGTCACCAACACCCACGCAATGCTATCAAAGTTTGCTGACAGCCCCCACTTTATCAGCAGGGACAGAGTTCCTGTGGCCATTGCCAGGAGATGACAATTTGCTAATCTGAACTGAGCTGTCCCTGAACCTCACTGAGGTCTGACTCCAAAACACCATTTGATGCAGATGAAAAGGCCAATCTGTTGCAAAGATGCCTTGACAAGCTAGTGGATAAAATTGAAGGTACCAAAATATTACAGAAGGAAATCATAAAAAGTGTAATCCAGGCTATGACACAGCTTTATGGAGATGATATGAGAGGTTTTAAGAATATGAGATGAAATCAGTGCAGCCACATTAGTTTCTGTCCAGATCCTGCTCTGTTTTAAAGTCAAAACTTGAAAAGAGCAGTCTGGCTTTACTCTCACTGAGGTGAATAAGAGCTGTTACCTTCAAAGCCATGGGACTACTTTAAAAGAAATTCTGAAGGAAATTAGATAATGTTATCAAGAAATTAGAAAGCCTAGGGAATGGAGAAAACATTAACCTTAAACAGGATACATGCCAGAAGTTCATTGTAGGAAATAACAGAAAAGGTAGATAACTAAAAGGTTTATTCAAAACATGTTTTGCTGCAGCAGCAGCAGAATACATGACCTGGGTAATGAGCAGAACGGTATGTTTCTGTGGCACAGGCACAGTCAAACAGATCTAACAGAGGCTTGGAAACTACAGGTCCCTGGACTTGGTCTGAGCTGTTTGAAAGACACTGGGAACATCAGCAAGAACAGGATGACAAAAGGGGAACATGCAGAACTTGTGATTCAGTACAAAAACTGCAGCAGATCTGAAAATGCGAAATTATGTTAGAGAGAAAGGGAATGGCAAAATGCATATAAACTAAAAGGTCGCTAGATGCATAACTTACCAAAGGGTTTATTATAAACAGAGAATAAATTGATTCTACAAGTTATATATATGAACTGTTGTTGAAAGCCAAAATTGTGTTTGAGTGCCTTTTGTTAACATGGTTTCATCATGTGGCCCACCCACAATTTAAAAACACAGAATACAAAACATGGACAGTAAACAGTCCAAATGAAATAAAAAGAGGAAACATTATCATATTAAATTTTTACAAAATACTCAAGTACCTGTGTCCATCCACATTGTAACTTTGTTGACATGGAAATGTTTTTTTGGAAAATAACCACATGCATCTAACTGGTGGATACGCTGTGAAGTTAACTTCAAAGCAAAACTCTTCCTCATCAATTTCAAAATCTTCTTTAGAGTCAGTTACATTTATAAATCCCTTTTCTGGAGGAAAAAGAAAGAGATGTTAGGTTGGACTGATAATGAAGAAATTTTGACATCTGTATATTTTTCATTTTGGTTATCACAAGATAAAAAAAGCACTATCATCATGTTACATCACAAAAGGCATCCTGTTAATCAAAATAAGATAATGTTTCAAAATAGTATTGAAATGTTGTCACTGTGTTCAGTTGCAGACAAATGATTTGAGCCTGGTGAAGTTGTGTATTTGGTCAGACCAGAGCACTTAAAAATGCTTCAACATTTCTCCTCAATACGCCCTACAGAATCACAGGGTCAACAATGTCATTATTTATTTGGTTTGGGTTAGGTGTGTATTCCAGGTGTTAACAGCTGCAACTCCTGGCTTTTCGACTAGAGGGAAGAAAAACCAGGGGGCACCACCAGCATAATCAGATGCTGATAGTAGTTCTCCTTCCCTGAAATGAGCTGAAGATTTTTTAAATTAGTCTTGTAGCTGCTGCTTTGTTTCTCCATCTGAATTAGACATATTTCATGCAAGATGACAGCAACATGGAAAAGTGTTTTGAAGATGTCCATGAACCATGTGCTGCTGACAGTTGCCCTGCTAGTAAGGGATTTGTTTCACCTAATGGAGATGTCTGAAGTTCTGTGATCCATCTAAGCTACTTGTTTGGACCTCTGATAAACTCAGTGGAAAGAAACAGGCATATCCAGATGTACCCTGTCGTAAAATAGAAGATAACGAAGATGTACTGAGTTGCTTCTGGAAATATCTGTTTCTTGACACTGACTGTTGAAGGAACAAAATTCATTGCTGAGGCCAAATGTCTCATGACTTGAAATGAATCCTACCCAAAGAGACTGAAGAGTAGATGTGTGGCAGGAGGCTGTCCTGAAGATAGCAGTGGGGTTAGCATCAGCTCTGTAAAAATCACAGAACCATATACATTGGAAGAGATATCTAGTCCAATTCCTGCTCACAGCTGGTCCAACTAGATGAGTTTGCTCAGAGCCATGTCCAGTTGAGTTTGGATATCTCCAAGGAAGTAGACTTTACAACCTCTGGGAAACTTGTGGCAGTGTTAATCAGTCACATGGTGAAAAACTGCACTGTAAAAATATTGCTAGATTGGGTTTTACTTTTGAGTGTTTTTCTTCTGATTATAACCTTATATTCTGCTTGGCATGCTTTATCTCTGTCTTAGCTTACTGGTTTGAAAAATACTACCTGAAAACTCTCATATAAACCAAAAAAAAGTCAATATTTTAAAACAAGAAGCAATTCCTTTCATGGCTGTTCTCCTACTTTTTGATATTAAAGGCTTACTGCTTTTATAAATTGGACCTTCATCTTTTGGTCCTCACCCGTCCAGGCAGAATATAATCTCTGAGTGTACTGTTAACAACACAACCAGCCAAGAGTAAAGGCTTTCTCCAGAGTGCATACAAGGACCTTGGAGCAGTGTATGCTATTTCTCTGGAACACAACTCAGAAAAAAAAAAGTAGTTTCTTTATTGAAGGAGAAACAAAATAGCACATTATTGCTCAATTTATAATTTTTGGCAGGTTTAAGTGTATTTCTGACTTCTTACATTTAGTAATGACACAGAGGTGAGATGAAACTTGAGACTGAACAAGTCTCTGTGTTTATCATATTTTTTTATTTGTTGCTCTAAACAAATTTTGCAAAACAAATATTGCAAAATAGCTTACATATTCCTGAAGCAAGATTGTGTAGTGCTAAAAATTCTTTATTCAACACTGGTGGAAACTGAGCATAAGAACTGCAGAAACAAAGAGCCTTGCAGCTGCAGTCATTGGCATGATCTGTGTTGTGCTTTAAAGTGGCCTAACCACCCTGCCTGACCTGACCAGCCACATAAAATGGGATAAGTTGATGAAGTATCAGTTAGCAAAGAGCAAACCAAAGCAGTCTGGCTGCAAGGCATTATTAGAGATTAGAAGAGCACCCATGCATGCAGCTATGCTATCCAGGCTCCCCAGGCAATGCAGTATGTGCCAACCAAATCACTTTTCTCTTGGTTAAGTTACATCACAATGATTTCCAGTGCAGCTATAGGTGCTGACCCATGCACAGTAATATTTTAAAGGCAGGACACAGACATGGGCAACAGAGTGAAATCTGTATCTGTATCACTGCTGTATCTGTATCTGTATAACTGCTGAAACGGAACCTGGCATGCCAGTATGAATTCACACCAGCCATTAACACATTATGCTAAAGGCTGGGGTGGATCAGAAGTACAGGATGTCCCTGCAGAACCTTGGAGAGAGAAGCACAGCTGTTAGTGCTAGGTATGACAACATTACCTACTTTTATCCACCTTGTAAGTAAACAAATCAATTTTTTCTTCAGGAAAGACAGTGAGCCCTCAGAATTTTTGTTGGCATAAGGGCTATTAAGAAGGGTACAGACAATGATTGTAGGTTCGTGTCTTGCAGTGAAAAAATACCCTTCTCAGAAATGCAGCCTTCCAGGGACAGTGACTCAAATATACCGTGACTGTCACACATATTCACGCCTGATAGTTTATATATACAAGAAGCCACTATTTCTGACCTGTGCACACTACTGATAAAGAGGAGGATCTTGCCCTACCTCTACAGTATCCTCTCACTTCTACATTCCTGTTCACTAACATGTATGTAGAAAAAAAGCCCAGGTATCGTATTTCGTTACTGTAAATGATGGGAGAACTTCCTGCTCAGTGGTTAGCAGAATCTGAAAAGAGGATATCGCACTGGGAAAGTAATTTCTGAAGAGACTGGGGTAACCGTTCTCACTTCCTATCATTCCTTGCCTACGTATTGTAAGCTCTGAGAGCAACTACATCTAAGGTCAAACACATGGTGAGTGCTTCAGAGAGCCTTGTTATCAGAGCTACAGGCTCCAACTCCAGGCACACCAGTCATTAAACTACTCCCAGTGCCTACTCCAGCATAATGGTTCTACCTACAGCTTTCCTTTTTATGTCTTTTTTCCAGATTTGTGCCTATTTGTATATTATTTCCATCTGAGAAACAAGTTTTGCAGTTGGGGCTGTTCTCAACTAACTTCAACACCACTGGCTTTTAAATCAACATATTGCTTAAGTAGAATGAAGTTTCCTTTTTAAAATTTTCAGGCCTTATGTAGCTTGGCACCAGGAAGATAGTTCCCTTTAGTGCCTGGAGAGCAGGAGACACTCAGAACAAAGGATAATATTGGAGTAGTTGTCTCTCTATTTTCAGGTTTTCCTTCGGATTCATCACAGCTGCAGCAGCACTTTTGCACGGCAGCTTGCCATCTCTGTCAGCATTCATTCATCACTCGACAATCTGTTGGGGCTTACATTCTCCATTAACATAACAGTTTAAATTTATTTTCAGCTACTAGTTACACGTGTTTTGGAGCTAAAATTCTTTCTCAGATTCACTTTCCCATAAAAAAACTGGCAAACTCAAGTGGTTTCTTGTCAGCCACTCCCTTGCCATAAGAGGAAGTAGTCATTTCTCATTTTTTCTGGGTTTTGAGTAGGAAAACCTGCCAGCAAGAACCTTCCAACTGTTTGATTCTGTCCTATTGGACCCAGATCAGGCCCACATAAGTAGATTTCGTGTCTACTTCTTTTTCTGTATAAGAGCAACAATCACCTGAAAGGTCCATCAGAACAGCAGAGCAGAGGCCACAAGAACATCTGTCTTACATCCCCACCCTCGAAAGCACAGCAAAGGTGGGGTGGAAATGCCATATGTGAGTAGGGGAGGTGCAATGGTGAGGAGGAGACTGAGTCCATGGCTACAGCTTCTAAAAATCCATGCTGAAGTCACAGCAGGATACTTCTGTCTCACATTGGTTGAAGCCAGTCAGTGGTCATACCAGACTGACCAAACTAACATACAAACCATCAATAGCTGAACACACAGGGCAGGTCTCATACTTCTTGTATTCTTGGCCAGCTCCAGCAGTGCTTTAGCTCTAGCTCTTTGTATCTGCTCTGCAACTCCCCTTGGTGACGCGCAGAAGGGCTCCACAACTATAGAAGTCCCTGCTGCCCAGAAAGCCCAAGGCATAGCCCCCAGGGACCCTATAGCTTTGTGTCCCCACTGGTTTTGCAGCACACTGGCTGAGAATCACCTACAGCAACATGAGATGAATCCCAGTCTATGTTTCTAGAGATCCCATTGAAACAATCATATGGACTAGATCTCTAACCAGTGCCATTTAATTTCACTTCTAAAAGCACTGGGAATTATTATTAATGGGAATTATTTGAAAAGCAATACGAAGAAAAGGTTGATTGTATTCAGGTACCAGAATGACTCAGTTCAAATTAATCTCTTGGCTCTCCTGGACTGCCAGTAAGTGCAAACAGACTTTTTCCTTAGCAAAGGAACTATAAACATGTACTGCATACCTGCAAGCAAAGAACTGCCACATGGAAAATAAAGCAAAACATCCAGCTGAGGAAACAAATTCATACCAGGGATTGGAATTACCTAAAACTGTGACCAAAGCAGTTTGATTCGGATGAGCAGTAGAAGAACAGGTATAACGTCCACTATCACTTCTTCCTGCTTCTGAAGCATATACATACTGGATCTGAATTGCTGAGCGGTCTGCTAGGTAGTCTAATCCTCCAAACTGGCGATCCTAGTTTTCAACAGAGATTCCAATTTAATCAGTTGATAGTGCCTAATACTACCAATTTTAAAATATGCCCTATCTTCTTACCTGAACTTCTCTGTTTTCAGAACATAATTTTATTCTGAATTTATAATTATGGTGAACAGCTCTGCATCTGATCAGCAATGGTTCCCCGACCTTAAGTAGCAGTTCAGGTAAAGGTGCTGCTTGCCTTTCATTCAAATCTACAAAATCAAAACAGCCACTGAAACAACTATCACTCTGCCTGAAAAAATGCTTGGTTATATCAACATTTTTTCTGCTAATGCTGTATAGATATTCATTATTTATTCATTGCAATGATAATTACAATAATCATGAAATTAGTAAATTTGATGGATTTAGATGTCTCAAACCAAATTTTGTCATAATTTACAAGATATCGATAGGGCACAGGTGCAAGCACATAGCCTAGCTCAGGTCAGGTTTATTAAAAAAACAACAGGCAAACAAACCTGCATATATATATACAAATTAAAAATTATTTCTATGTGTATATATTTGAGAACACCTTAAAGAGCTTTTCCATGCAACACAGTCCTAAAAGCATGAACAAAAAGCCAATACATGCATAGCAAATATAGAAAAGCAAGAAGTTTTCTACAGAGACCACAAAGAACTATTGGAATTAGGTTTTAAAGTTGTGACAGAGCAACATATTCACTGTTATATTTGTTCCAGTGATTAGAAACAAGTAGCTTAGCCCATAAAGCATACTCAGATGAATAGTGCAACTAACTTCAGTGTCAGGAACGAGCTCGCATGCAAGAAAACCTTAGAGGGAAGTTACCTATTGTAAAGAGGCTGGTGCATTCTCTGCCCAGGACATTATCTGCACAGCACCATATGTAAGTTTGAAATAATTCATGTTGCACCATCTGTATGCCATCTATTTCTCCAGTTTCTTCATGCATTTTATCAGGGCAACTGCAATTACAAGCACAATTATTCATTGACTCATTTGGTTAACCTCAAGCAACTAAATCTGATAAATCTCCAAGCCATGAGAATATGCAAACAATAGTGGGAAAACTGGATCTTACATAGTTGGATGAAAAGGAACTAGGAAAGATGAAGATAAGAAAATAAAAATTTCACAGTCTAGGAAGAAATGTGGGCTGAAACGACCTGAATATGCTCAAACTGGCTCATAGACAGGTAATGATGTAATTAAAATCCAGACAAGAGTGAAATCATAGAGACTAAGCTTTCACACCACATCTCTAAATTCCTGATGGTGGGAGCTACTGCAAATCCAGCAGCCTTTATGAGACCCAGATCCCAAATGACCACACTGCAGAGAAAGGCATTATTCCCACCGTTAATAGAATAAACTTTATATATTAATAGAATGGGAAAAATTATTTAGCTCACAAAATTATGATCTCTTGTATCCTCCCAGCTCTAATGTTCCAAGTGAAGCCTGCAGTGACTGGGAAAAGGGAAACATAAGAAAGGGTAGAAAGGAAGATTGTGGGAACTACCAACCTGTCATCCTCACCTCTGCACCTGGGAAGACCATGGAACGGATCCTCCTAGCAGCTAGGCTAAGTTATATGGAGGACGGGGAGGTGATTTGAAACAGTTAGCATGGCTTCACCAGGGACAAGTCCTGCCTGACCAACCTATTGGCCTTCTATGATGGAATGACAATAGCAGTGGATAAGGGAATGGCAACAGGTGTCATCTACCTGGGTTTCTGTAAAGCCTCTGACATGGTCCCCCACAATATCCTTCTCTCTAAATTGGAAAAATACAGATTTGATGGGTGGACTGTTTGGTGAATGAGGATTTGGTTGGATGGTCGCATCCGGAGAGTAATGATCAATATCTTGGTGTCCAGTTGGACATCAGTGAAAAGCAGTGTCTTTCAGAGCTCTGTATTGGGACCAGTACTAATGTCTTCATCAATGACATAGATAGCAGGATCGAGTGTATCCTTAGCAAGTTTGCAGATGACACCAAGCTGTGTGGTACACTTGGTATACCTGAGGGATGGGATGACATCCAGAGGGACCTGGACAAGCTTGAGAAATTGGCCCATGGGAAACTCATGAGGTTCAACAAAGTCAAGTGCAAGGTGCTGCACCTGGGTCAGGGCAATCCCTAGTATGAATACAGGCTGTGGGATGAATGGATCCAGAATAGCCCTGCAGAGAAGGACTTGGGAGTACTGGTGGATGAAAAGCTGGACATGAGCTGGCAATGTGTGCTTGCAACCCAGAAAGCCACTTGTATTCCGAGCTGCATCAAAAGCATCACGGCCAGCATGTGGAGGGAGATAATTCTGCCCCTCTACTCTGCTCTCATGAGACCCCTCCTAGAGCATTATATCCAGTTCTGGGGCCCTCAACATATGAAGGATATGGACATATCGGAGAGAGTCCAGAGGAGGCCACAAAGATGATCAGAGGGCTGGAACACTTCTATTAAGACAGGTTGAGAGAATTGGGGTTGTTCAGCCTCAAGAAGAGATAGTTCCAGGAAGAAATTATAGCACCCTTCCAGTAATTCAAGAAGCCTTATAAGCAAGATGAGGACAAACTTTTTAGCAGAGCCTGTTATGATAGGACAAGGGATAACAGTATTAAATTAAAGAGGGTAGATCTAGACTAGATATAAGGAATATTTTTTTCCTGATGAGGGTGGTGAAACATTGGTACAGGCTGTCCAGAGAGGTGGTAAATGCCCCATCCCTAGAAACATTCAAGGTCATTTTGGTCAGGGCTCTGAGTAACCTGATCTTCTTGAAGATGACCCTGCTTATTGCAGTGCGCTTGGACTAGATGACCTATAAAGGTCCCTTCCAACCCAAAGTATTCTATAGTTGTATGATTAAAATTTCAAATAAATGTGAAAAACTAGAGGGAAATTAAATACCTTTGATTTGCTTCTGTGACATCATAATACTAGAATGTGGAATAACACTCTTAAAGCCAAGAGCTGATAGTTTCCAAAAGAGCACAACAGTCAAAATTTCTAAGAAAAATATGTTGCAGACATAGGTTTTCAACCATCATCTTGGTGTGCCAAACACCAGAGCCCATCTCAAAAAATTCTGAACCAAAAGCTCTTTTTAAGTTATCTCACTAGGTGCACTAAGCAATGTAGAATCATAGAATTATTAAGGTTGGAAAAGACCTCTAAGATTATTGAGTCCAACCATCAACCTAATGCTGCTGTATTCACCATTAAACTGGGCCTCCAAGAGTCATGTTACACTTTTATTGAACACTTGTAGGACTCAACTACTTCCCTGGGCAGCCTGTTCCAATGCCTGACCAACCCTTCAGTGAAGAAATTTCTCCTAATATGTAATTTAAACCTCCCCTGGCGCATCTTGAGGTCATTTCCTCTCATCCTGTCACTTCTTCTTTAGAAGATGGGAAACTTTCAGTTTAGAGATATAACACACATATAAACATACACCATACCTCTTTTCAGGTGTTTTGCAGAATATCCATTCCACTGAGGGCTGGGGGTAGCTCTCAGATATGCACTCGATAGAATCCGAATTTTCCCTTTTCCTGAAATAGGGCTTGCCTGGTTTTTCTGTTAAAAATCATGCAAATGTTTAAGAATGATGAAATGATTTTGAGACAGTGTTTTGCTCATTTCATAGTAAGTGAAGTTACAGAGCTGTAATTTTTTCAGGAGGTTTCAACACTGAGGGATCAGAAAATTATTCAGCCCTAGCAGTATTGTGGGTTAGTCTCATGAGCTTTTCAGCCTTGATTGCTAAATTCACAGGTTCCCTGTACCAAAGGCCTGCATCCTCCCTATACATCAGGCGATAATCCTGAAACTGATACTGAAAGGTGCTAATTTGCTGTGGTTGCTATTTATTTCAATGGGCAGGAGCACAAATACCTTTTGAAATCACATCCTAAACCCTTCCTTTGGTGGATTATCTGATGAGACTACAAAGTCTGTACACAAAGTGGGATTGTTGCATACTCCTCAGTCAGATCAGATACAGGACAGAAACACAATGGGTGATAATGACTTCTGATAGCAGAGTTTTCTACCCTTCTTCTGTAACCCAGAGGGAAATGATTCCAGGACCCTGAACCTATCAAGCACAGATTTGGAGTAGGCACAAAGAATGTAATGTATTAAAACTGTTGAAGATTTGACTCAAAATGCAAAACACTGAGTTTGGCTTTAGGTCATCTTTCAATGAAATTACAGCTTCCATCCAAAAGAGTGACATTTTTTTCAGTCTTCTTCCGTTGCCTGCAAGGTGACATGCTAAGGTGAAACTAATACTTACGACTTTTTAATTTCTTTCCTCGTTTAGCTCTTATAAGCTGGGCCTAGAAGGTTTAGTTCACCTACAGAGATTCACATCCCAGTTGAAGGATTCACATCTAGCCTGAAGGATTTTATGAGATGTAATTATGATATTAGATTCACAGGAGCAAAGAGAATGCAATTCAAGCAATTGATATGGAAAAGACCTTTATCGACAGTGTTTCAAACTATTCTTGCTTGTGCATGTAATAACATATTTTACCTCTAAAGCTTAATTGATATAGTAGAGATGGCAATCCTTAATGAAAGATTTAATACCTTGTCCCCTCAATGAAGCTGTTAAAATTATAATTGAGACATACAATAAGCCTTCAAATAAAACAAGGAGAGATTAGAGGTGACTTTCTGACACTTGAGAAAGAAAAAAAATTAAACAGAAGAAATATTTTAAAAGATGGAATAAAAAAGGTTGATTTGTTACAGTTTATTAAAAACAAGGCAAGTAGTGATACTTGTTAAACCTGTATCTAGAAGGGTCTTTTAGCTGCTTGGATTGATGCTTTTGAAATTTCTTTTGCATTTTTAAATTTTATCTTTAAATTTGGCTCTTTTCAGACAAAATAATATAGTCTTTATTTTCTCTCAAAAAAATCATGTCAACAGGGGTCTTTTTGTGCTTTGAGATGTTTTTATACACCCCAACTTAGAAACAGAAGCTTGCACTTTGTTGCAGCAGTTGCCTTTGCATCAGAGATGTCTCTTGTGTGAACCTTGAAAAAATTCAATCAAATCCACTCCCAGCCTTTCAAAAAGTCACACCTCACAGGTGCTCTGTCATGAACATTTAACAACAGTTAAAATCCCAGCTTCTTGGGCACCCTTGTGTTGAGCAGCTGCAGAACTGATGGGTTTTACTCTAAAACACAGTAAATCACAAGTAAAGGCTGACAATGAGAAGAGGGACACTTTCTTTCACCTTCCCTCAGTGTACCTCTTGCTGAACACAGAATTGTAAAAGGAAAAGCTGTGAGAGAAGTGAAAGACCCAGCAGCAGGCACAGGTGGAAAAATGGCAGTGGCTCAAACTGTGACTTGGGAGCACCAGAGACCAGAATATGAAAAGCATATCCTGATCTGGTCCAGCTTACAACCCAGCCAGCAACACCAGAATAAACAGGTTAAAATGAAAGCAAACAAATGTAGCCCAAAAGCTTTGAAAGCACACAAAAGCCACTCTCGATTTGTCCTTTTTGTCACAGAGGGGAATCTCTCACAGAGAAGAGAGCTACCATGCATTTACATCCTTATTTGTTCATTTGCATGGTTTATTGACTGAAGAAAGATGACTCTCACAGAGTTTGTGATTCTGATTTCAGCTGCCAAGTCCTATGCTAATCTAGGAAGATGATTGAAATGCAGCTCATGGAAGCTTCATTGCTTTGGCTGAACTTGAGCCTCTGCCCTTGAACCTATTGATGGTATGACCCCTTTCATGTAGATATACTCACTTCGGACGAGAACAGGCACAACTACTGTGTAATTGCTAGTTTCACTTGTGACCAAGAGGGTGTATTTTCCAGCTTGTCCTTCTTTTATTTGTGAAAAAGTCAAAGATGTAATATATCTATAAAAGAGAAAGTAAAGTGGTATTTGTCATGTTAACATAAAGAAGGTAATATGCAGCACACACAATGAAATGTTAGCTCTTTAGCTCTGCAAAAACACTAGTATTCGTTATTTACATAGTGCCCTTCAGCCTGAAGTGCTTTCAGCATGTATCTTCCTACACAAGTGCACATAGGAACTTACAGACACAAGTACAACATGCTTAATGCTGAGCGTTGGGAAGGAGGGGCTTCCTGAGCTTAGGACAGTTCAGGAGTTCCACATCAAAATGCTTTACCTAGAAGTTTTGCACAAGGAGGCAATAATTCAGTCTCAGGTTCCAGCCCCGGTTTGGCTGTGAGAATTAGAATGCTGTTGCTGTTGTTCCTGATCTGCTCTGTGATCCTAAAAGTCATATAATTCTTCATGCCTCAGTTTCTTTGACTATAAAATCACAATTTTCCCACATGAGTACCACAAAGCTCAAATAGATCAATGTCAGAAAGCCCCTGGAGACCTCCACACATGATGCTATACAAATTGAAAGAACAAGCTTATTTCGGAATGTTCTAAGATTCATGTGTGTACATATATCTAAATGAAAATAAGCAATGTGCAGCTGGGTGACAACAGTTAAGAAAGATTAGGAGATTGAAAAAGATAATACATAATGTGAAATCAATCACACAGAATACTTTCAATTTGAATCCTAAAGGAAATGACCTTTTAAAGACTCTTCGACCCACTATATCCCTTGACTTACTGATTCTCTGAGTCCAAAAAAAGTTTACAAGCTTTTCTTTCTTTAAAGAACCAAAAGCATGAAATGATATTTGAAATTCTCATTATTATTCTTAATTCAATATCTTGAAATAGATTGACTTCCACATTTTTAATTGTTTTATAGATGTTCTCTGTTCCTTGAGAATTCAAATAACACCCAAGATCTTCCAAAATGTTAGAAATCTGCAATACAGAAGGACAGATTGTTAGGTATTTACTAGCAATTAGCTTTATTTGCCAAAATACGAATACAAATTATAGTAAAATAACACCTTCATTTTGTTTGTTTTTTTTTCCCGTTTCTACTCTCAAACTTATTCATAAATATGTTGAGTTCTACTGCATGAGGAAACTTTATAGGTTTGCTGTTGAATTAGTTAATTCTGTTCTCTAGACAGAGATCACAAAACAGAAACTCGATAACTTTTAGCCAGAAACTCGATAACTTCCCTTAGTGGTATATGTTATTCTTTACACTCAACTTTGTTTCTTCTTTTTTAGAACTGTAGGAAGACATAGAACTACAATAAAACCTGTGTGTTTGCAACCTTAATGTAAAGGCAGGGTCGGAATGTTGGGTTTATTTTAGCATCCTACTACTTGTCACTGCATCAAATGGCTAGACTGCTCCTCAACTCTTTGGGTGTTTTAGTAGGTAAGGAGCATTGGGGCTGCATGCGTTCATGATTTTCATTCCCTCACCATTGCATATGGCTAAAGAGAATTGCAAACAGAAAGAGAACACTCTGCAGTCATTCTGAAAGCCACCAGTGGATTAATGAGTCTCTAAGATCAGCTGCAGCAAAAGGTGCCAAGTAAATAGCTCCATCTGAAGAGAAGCCCACAATGTCTCTATTATTTTGGTGGGTGAAATTTATCCAGTGTAAGTTTATGAAAGGATGGAGTTCACTGCATTCTCTGCCCTGCAATTTTGCTTGGCTGGTTGGTTCTTCTCATTCCTTGCTCCTTTTTCCTTTTGATTGGCGTGAAAAGTATCTAGAAATAACGGCCAAATTCTGCCTTGTCAGACACAAGAACAGCACAGCTTTGGTTGATACACTTTCATTTGTTATCTGATTTATTTGTTCAGAAATGAAAAAGATTTCATAAGACTTTCATGAAACAAGAATCCTCAGGAACTATTTTAATCGCAGATTTCAGCTGATTTATAATTTAATTGCACATCATCTCTTCTTGGATTTCTGCCATTTTGAGTCAAAAGAGAAGAAAATAAAGTTATATTTGATTCATTGTCCAGCTTTGGTGTCGAAGTCAAGGTTAGACCAGTCAGGGATTTATGGGCTTTGGTGGTGGGAATAGAGGGCAGTACAACTTCCCTATCAGTCCCAGCAGCCATGGCACACACACACCCCACGGTAGGACACCCATTCACACCATGGCCTTGGAAATCCCCTCTTAAGGCCACATATTTTCAAATATATTTTTACATTGACACATTGCCAGCAACATCCAGGAATATGACAGCATCAAGGTGTCAATTAAAAAGTCAGTTTTAGAGAAAACTGGTACTTAACTATTTACAGTTTCCAAGTATGAATTTTGATATACATATTCCTCTAACCTTCTGTAGTCATATTTGGCTTAACCTTGGTTATTTTGACTGTGACATCCTCACATCTTAAGTTTTACTGAGTTGTACACTTCTAGGAGGGTATTTCTGGAATGGATAGGAACATTTTATAAGCAAATTATTTTCTGCTATATTACCTTAGGAGATACTGATGTCTCTGGTGCTCCTGAACCCTCAGCTTTCTGGCTGATAAACTCACATGTGATCTCAGATGTATTTTGAGTTATTGTAGAAGTGAAAGCAACTGCTGTCATAACAAGAACTACAAAACAGAAAGAGAAAACAAATCTAATAAAGTCTAGATGTCTGCTCAGAGATAATAATTTTAGTGAAAATAAAATACAACAAAACTGTAGAAAAATTACATCTTTTAAAAAAGTGCCAAAATGCATATGCAGATATACTGTATGCATTTGCTAACTGTGCATTTGTGTGTTGAAGCTGAGTGGAAACTTTATTTGACCTTTCAAAAATACAAACACATCCCGCTTTAGAAGTATGTCCCATAATATTGCAGAAAAGCTTCTGTGTGTTATGGAGGCTCCTTTAGAAACCACATTACCAAAGACAGGCTCCCTCTTGCACTTCACTTCTGCATCAGTGTGTTACAAAGGGCCCTGCAGCATCAAACCCTGCAGTGCAGGTCAGCGTTTGCCCACTGTGAGCCAGAGGATAGTCATGCAGCATTCCTCCCACAGGAGGCAAAGGCAAGGATGGGGAGAATGAAGTACTGCCTGCTGTAGGAAATTAGAATTGAGACCATCGAAGGAACCTGAAGGCGAACAAGGCTGTGGGACCTGATGAGATGCATCTGTGAATTTTGAGATAGCTGGCAGAGGAAGTGGCTAAGCCATTATCCATCCTGTTTGAGAATCTGTGGCACTCCTGTGAGGTTCCCACAGACAGGAAATGGGAAAACGTAAGTGTCATTTTCAAAAAGGAAAAAAAAAAGGAAGACCTGAGGAAGTACAGGCCAGTCTCACCTCAGTGCCTGTCAAGATCATGGAGCACATCACCCTGAAAACCATGAGAAG